ACGAACGCTGGAAGTGGAACCTTTGACAACAGCTAGTCTGGAAATCGGTTCCTATACGCTGGCCTACAGTCATATCTTGAGGTATGATTTTTGTGTGGAACGTCTGCATATTCAAGAAGTTGGATCTTTTATCTGGAGTGTGTATCTTAGCGAAGTACTGTAATTTTACAGTGCTTTATTTACGTGGTTAATGCGTCCCTAATCATTCAAAAGTTAATTATCACCGCTGAGTTTATTGCATGCATGTCCTTTTTCTGTAAAAAAATGGGTAATTTTAAATTCAAGTACAAGTATGATTTTCTTTCAACTTCGGGAATGCCGACATATATGACGAGTAAACTGCTGCTTCATGTGTTTCAGTCTGAAGAAATGTCGATTTCTTTCCGTCTTCGTGTTGGTGGCCGCAGATCACCTTCTCTTTATTGAACCAAAGCTTTTCTTCCTTTTTTCTTCGAAATCAAAGACTGCACTTGGTCCACGAGATGGAGGCTGGCTTGAAGGTACTAGTTCGTTGGAAGGATTCGTGGCAGAAACGACGTCCGGAAGCGGAACGCATTTACCAACTCGAAAAACTCGTATCTTCGTGGAACTCGAGGGCTGGACTGGTTCAGCACAGCTTACGTGTCATAGAGCCTTTGCAGGCGTTGCGTAGGTCTACGTTGGGACTCTTGGCGTCTGTTGCGTCGTCCAAAAATGACGGAGATTCGTTGGTGCGCCGAGTCAACGACGAAATCGATCGTTCTTGGCTGCTTAGCGCAAAAGCCGCGAGAAAGTGAGATTTTGGAGATATATTCTCCCAATTTTTATTTTTTTTAATCTCTCTGAAACAAAATTGGGGGACCAGAAAAAAATTCGTTATGAGGAGAATTTATTCGTAGAGAGAGTAAAAAATAAATTTAATAAATACAACGAAATTCGAGGAACCAGAAAAAATTGTTTTGGAGATAATTTCGTTGTAATGACCCCTATTCGATGATTGGATAATTATAATGGGAACTTGACAAAAATCGTTGCGTAGAGAAAATCGTTGACGAAAAAATCGTCGTATAGAGATTCTACCTGCATTTCTTCTTCCCTTGACATTTTCATTGTAATGTTTCTCCGTCATCAGGTCACAGCATTATCATCGGGCTTATTCGTGTCTCTTGAATGCTGAAAGACCGATTATTGATGCCGAGCCAGGCTCGGCGGCGAGTCTGCTACGTGCTGAAGTACTGATCGAAAAAGCAAAACTGGACTGGAAAAATGGCAATCAAGAAGAAGCCATGCGACTGCTCAACTCCAGCGTCGAGTTTTACCTGACTCCTCAAGGTGCAGACGCCGACATCAGTGTAGACAAAGACATGGCTGCCATGGTGAGAATGCGGTAGAATTCATATTTTACATGCTAATGAAAAGCTTCTTTTCTACACGGAGGATCAAGTGTTGCAGGGAAATGATATTCGATGGGCGAACATTCAAAAAAGGAAATATTTCATTTTAATTACTTTCCCGACAATTTGAAGTATTTTAGCCCAGATAATCAGTCCATTGAAGGGAATGAACAGGCTCAAGTTGTAATTCAGGCGTATGCTGTTCTTTCAATTCCTACTGAATCAACGAAAATGCGCGCGAGGATGATCGGAACACGAATTAATGAGCTGTAATTTTGTAATTGACTGCAACATGTGGTCTTCTGGAGATTACTGAATTCTTCAGAAGTTCGGATTTGAGAATTGGAAACTTGGGTCTAGGGCATTGCGCTCAACAAACGGCCCGTGGGCCAGATCTGGCCCACAGAGACTTCCTCCATTCCGTGGTCCCGTCCGTATAATTTTCAATGTTGCGGCCAACACTATTCAAAATATTATATACTATATATTGAAAAATGAATTTTATAATCCGAAATGTTTCTCCACCCTTTGAGAATTCTATGAAACCATGCTTATGATTCAATGATTCAATGCGCACCGAATTAAATTTGGAACTTTTAATTTTAAACGGGAAACTTTGGAACCTAAAAAATTATTGTCTATTGTGGCCTGCAATGACTATCCATGTGGCCTTGGCAACAAAGAATGTATGAATTTAACCCTTGGCCACAACACTGGTCTTTCTAGGGTTTTTTTTTTTTTTTTATCCCAGGACGATGCCCCTCTCCAAGCTGTTTAAAACCCCCACTTAATTTTATTACATATCATCTTTCGCAATGTGTTAATGCATCGATTTCCTTTTTTTAATAGACAAGACTGTTGCTGACGCAGTATTGGGAGGAAGCGGGTTATCAGGACTCGGCGAAGATCCGATCGAGTTACGAGCGAGTTTGTCAGATGAGTTCTGATTGGGAACAAGGGTATTTTTATCTGGCCAAATACCTTGACAAGGTCCATTCTTCAAAAGGCGATCGTAGCCGAGAGCTTCAGCCGTAAGTACAATCGCAGTCATTATTATTGAATCTAAAATTTTTGAGTGCCGTATTTATTTACAATAGCTATTTAGACTCCGTATAGACTCCAAAATTCCACGAAAAATAAAATACCAAGACTTTGAAATTTTGAGTTAAAATTTGTTCTAGTTGCGTTGATCATTATTTTTTTCATGCAACAAGGGCAAACTCATGTTTGAATATACTCGAAGGATTTTCGCTGCAATTCCTTGAATATTTTTCATTGAAATCCCAGGGACCTGGTGCACACGATTGTCACATCGTATGGAAAGAGCCTGGTTTACGGGTTCCGTCATGTTTACGAAGCTTTACCCCGATTGCTGACCTTGTGGATGGAGTTTGGTACAGCGATTGAAACCGTTCGGTCCAGTTCTAGTAAATCCGGAACAGCCAGCAACGCTCAAAGTATTATGCGAGTTCAGCAGAATCTGAAGGAACTGACGAAAACCGTTTGTAAGTAGAGTAGTTGAAATTGTTTTTACTGAAATCCTGATCGAAGCTTTCTAATCGCTTATTTTTGTAAATTTTGTAATTTCAGGGCCGATC